TAAATAGTCAGTTAGATAGATAGAGAGAGAAAGAATGTGAAAAGGAGCAAACGCATTTAATGCTCCAGTACGATTATAGAGAGAGAGAGAGAGAATACTAATGTGATGAAGTTTTACATAGATACTCCTAAGTACGAATTTAACGATTAGCTTGTGGGCTTTTCCCAATTGCTGGTTAGTTTACAAAGAAACATGTACTTAATATTAATAATACTCTAAATGTTTTTATATATATATGTTTTCCTTAGAAAACATGACTTGGATGTGTAAATAGGTGTTGCTTATAACTAATTTTGTTTTCTCTTTACAATCTGTTACAAATAGATATAAACTTTACAATTTGGAATACAACAATTGACTTAAGCCTAAGGCGAATTTGACTGTCGTATAACCTTGCAGAGGGGATTATCTAGTTGATACAGACAATGAAAATCTAGTTGCTTCTGGCATTTTTATACTACAAAGTGTTGAACTATATCTTGGTTTAATACGGATAACATAATCTAAGGATCTCTATTGTTTCATCTGCAAGGAGATAGTTAGCCTCGGTCAGCCGAAGTTATATTTATTTCGTACAATTTGTTCAAGATGATAGCTACTTATGATATAGTACCTTGCCTATTAGTTCGATGTAGCTTACATAATGTTCTCTATGTAGGCGATTATATAATTATAGAATTTAAATATCGGGGTGGTTAAATTTTAATCTCTGAATAGTTACAAAAGAAACATTTCTAAAATTAATTGAAATGTCCATAAGCTTTACTATGGAGCTCTTTGCTCTTCCATCAACAAGAAATCGACTAATTTATAGATATATAATATTTGTATATTTGGGGTAATTAACTACGCAGGAAATAGTTTAGGGATATATGCCAAAGAAAGATAAATAAAGCAAAAAAAAACATATAAGAAATAAATTACTGTAAGACTAGGCTAGAGCTAGTAATATATAATGTATTTAGTATCTTACTGCTAAGGGGGAGCGGGGAAGAGTTTCGTATTTGTTTTTCATTTTGGTACAGGGTAAAGAAGGTATGGCTGCAGCTATATTTGCTCTATGTCTAGTTATATGTAGAATACTCATAGTTAGTTTCAAGGCTCATCTTTTTGTTATCGCTTGCCTATCATGAAAAGATAATATACATACAATATACATATATGTATAGTAGTTAAATTTGTTGCTTGTTTTGTTTTTGTTTTTTGGTATTTTTATTATTTGGGTAAGAAACGCTAAGCATAACCAAGTACACAATACGAGTACGAGTACATTTAATTAGAATACGATTATACGATAATAAGGTGTTTAACTTTTGCTCAGAGTTATACGAAAGATACGAGAGAAATAGAGAGAGAAAGAGAGATTACGATGCGCCAGCTGAGTTTTACGCTAAACGTGTTTTATACAGTTACAATTTGGCGATCTTTTATGTTTTTGGGATTGTTTTCAACATGTACCTAAGACATCGGTAACGAGACTTGTAGATTTGATATGCCCTTCCTTTGACTACTGCGTCGGTTGGCGTTGGCGTAGCGGCCTCCGGCGCAACAGCTGTGCGCGCGCGTCACAGTTCCAGATCCAAATGACGCTGGCGGCTCCTCTTCGCAATTCGTTCACTTTTTAAGTATATATTATATATATATATGTGTATATATATATTTTGTTCATTTCAATTATATTTAAATTTATATTTCAGTTACATTTTGCTGTTTGGTTTTTATATATTCAACTACATAACATACGCTAGCTAAAGACTTTGTTTCCTATACTTAAAAACTAGTTGTACTTGGATCTTGGTTCACCTATAAGCAGGACACAGGGCCCACACACATATACACAATCACACACATTCACATAGACATTGTGTTGGCAGTTGGTAAACCAGTTTTCTTTCTACTGTTTTTGGTCTCTTGTTTGTTGGAGCACAACAAAAGGTGTGCGTGTGTGCACTGTATGAATGTGTGCGTGTGTTTGTGTGTGTGTAGTTTTTGTAGATTATATTTATTATAAAAGGGCAAAATGTTTTGCTTGCGTTTCTCTTGACTATCTGCGACAAGGACAACCCCGTTAGGATCGGCTGCTTTTGCGAATAAAACTGTTCCAGTTAAAATTCGACAGCGACTTCGAATGTTTGAGTTCCCTTCGAGACTTTTTTGCCGTAATTGCGCAATTGCGCGCAGCAGGCCAAACTACCCTAAGGCTCGGCCAGGTTCGGTTGGCTTGCGTTGCCATTGTCCTGTGCCACAGCATTAAAAATTGATGGGGCGAGGGCAAAAACAGCTGCGCGCACAGGACTCGTCGACGGCAGCTGCTATTTTTAATGGCTTAACAGAGCGCGAGCGCGTGCGCTGTACGCTGCAATTGTCTGACAACTATATTTGTATATATGACTTGGATATGCGCTTATCAGGCGGACAAATTGCCTTAATACGCTTGCTTAAAATGCAATATCCGCTGTGCCTCATGTGCCAGGAAGCGACTGTTAAACGGTACATTTGTTTAAAGCTTTGCCTGGCATTTGCCAATAGCTTTCTGCAGTTACAGTAGAGGCTAAGCCATTGTATCATCTAGTGTGAAACCTGATTTGGTCGAATATAATATGCCCTGCTATCTTGTTGTTTGTTTTGCTGTTGCCTGGTGGTCGTATTTTGTGTCTTTTGTTTGGCACGTAACGAAAAACTGTAATTCTAAACCAGACAGAAACCAATAAATAATGTGAAAAATGCAAAAATAAAGAGCAAGGAAGAAGGGCACAGACACAAAGGGCCAAAGCAGAAGACGCGACTGTAGTAAATCACACATCATTGTTGTAGCTGTGGTTAAGACTGTTCTTGTTGTTGTAGTTTCGGTAACGACTGCAGCTGCGCACGCAGTGACACATCAAGAAACAAGGTGAAAAAAGGAGAGAGCGCAGACAGACTAAATGAAACGGCGCGTAAATATAGCTGTAAAATCTGCACAGAGAGCAAAACGAGAAACGCAAACAGAAGGGCAAAAAAAAATAGAAGCAGTAATCCCCAAAGAGACAGTGTGAGAGAGAGAGAGAGAGAGGAAGAAAATGAAATAGAGAAATGGCCATATACATAGCTGGCTAGAATATTAGGCATTGACTACATGTGGCTTACCTGAGTGACCGGATCCTTCATGATGAGCACATCGGTAACGGTGCCGAACATATTGAAGTATTCCTTGAGCTTCTCCGACGATGTCTGCCAGCTGAGCCCGCCTACAAAAAGTTTGCCTGGAGCTGGATCTGAAAGGCTGCCGCCACTGTTACTGGGAGTGGAGCGGCCCGAGGAGCTGCTCTTCATGCTCAAATTAGCAGCGCTGCCATTCTGTGCAGCGGCTGCATTCACATTATCCACCTTAAGCAGGGCCATAGCAGCCTGCTGAGCAGCCGCCTGCTGTTGCTGCTGTTGTTGCTGTTGCTGTTGTGCAGCTGCCTGGCTGCCATTGGTCTGTGCATTGGCCTGATCCTGTACAGCTGTGGGCTGCTGTTGCTGCTGCTGGGACGCCTGTTGTCCGGCAGCGCTCTGCTGCTGTGTCTGCTGCACCTGTGCCGCCTGGGCAGCGGCAGCGCTCTTGAGCACTGCTGCCGTGGTCAAGGTGCCATTGATGGCAGCCACATTGCTGTTGGCTATGGAGGCGACCAACGCATTATGCAGATCACGATTGTGATGCGGATCGATGAGGCCGGCAGCGGCGGCTGCAGCGGCAGCGGCAGCATTATCAATCGGATTGCTGTGGGCATTAAAGAAATATTTGTCAGCGGCGCTCAACAAATCATCATGTGGCGACTGCGATGCCGGCAGCGACTGCGCTAGCGGCAGAGGCAACGGCGGCGGCGGCTGATGGTGCAGCATGGTGGCGCCCTCCTTAAGAGCGTGCATTTCCTGCTTCAGCTGAATGTTGAAGGCCGTTCGAAGCAGCACAAAAAAATCAAGAACTTTCCGTTTGGTTCTAATCTTTCAATTATTTTTTTTGACGTTTCGCGTTGACTTTTTTTAATTATGAATTTTCTAGTTTTTTATAAATTCGTCTTTTTTTGGCGTTTCGCGTTTAATTTTGTGCCTCGTTTTCTACCTTTGATGGTTTGTTCTTGGTTTTTCGCGTTTTGTTTTTGTTGCCAATGGCAATAGGCGGCGCTTAGTTTTATTTATTTTCTATTCTTTCTGGTTTTTGTTTAGTTATTTGCATTCGAGTGGGGGCACATAAATTAATGCAAATGTCCGGACGGCACGAAGAGCATATATATATATATATATGTATATAGATATATATATGAATATATATTTATATCTAACGAACAATTTTAACTCGCTTTGCTGTGTTCTATTAAAACTCTTTTATTGTTTATTTGCTCCTTTCACTAAACGTCTGCGCGGCGCGAGTTCCAAATTCTGAATGCGTCGCAGGATGTGTGCGAGCTGTGAATGCTCGAGCTAAATTCAATTTGTAAGACGACAGCGAATGAGCGTGCGCAGCAGCATTCGAAAACATGCACACACACATACATATGCATACAATGCGCACAAAAGAGTGCGAGCGAGAGAGAGAGGGAGAGATGTGTCTAAAGCAAAGACAGCTGTCATTTATTGTGGCCGGGGTTGCCCTAAGCGAGCAGTGTCGGTTACTGAAGGAAGCGAACGAGGGTTGTCAGGTAGCAGCCAGCCAGGCAGGCACGGCACGGCACGTAACGAGGATATTACAGTGTTGCAGAGTTTTGCACAGGTGTGTTGCAGTGTTGTGAAGTGATTGCATTCGTCAAGTGAGATGCTCTGCTGTTCGAGTGGCTTATGAAGTGTTTAAAAGCACTTGAAATTGTTTGAATAAATGAATTTATGAAAGTTGAAAATTATTACATTGATCGCATTATTGGGGGATTTAAATTCTTCAATAAATGTTTGATATTATTGCCACATCACTAATGTTTATATTTGCAGTATTTGTAATTCCCTTAGATCATTTAAAAACCATCACTATATATCTCTTTTTACAGGCGATACCTATAATTCTTATTACCGCCATTGGCTTTTCATTAGAACTGCTCGCGATATTGCGATTGGCTGCTACTCGTGATGATGTTTGGTATACTAACGGCTCCGCAGCGTGTGAATTTATCGAGACCCGTAGAGGCTATCAAGTTCCTATACGAAAGGTGAGCATAGCTAGCTGATTTTCATAGCAGTCTGATCGTCATGTCTATTTTCAGTTCGTGGTGTTTAATCAGAAGTATCAGAATCCGCCAGGTCTCTTAGCGGCTATACAAGGAGATGTAGATGGGCCAGAATATTGTAAGTATGCAAAGACTTGAAAGAAAACAGCGCTTCCAGCAGAGCACAACATAGCACCAACAAAATTAAACAGTTCGGTTGACGTTTTGGTTCACATTTGTCGATCTGGAGGCGTTGCATATACTTGAATATCTAATGCACAATTTGGAATATATACGTAAATACATGTACATCAATAGGTCCTCCAGGCGACAAGTGTGAAAAGAAGGGAGTCAATGCCAAAATTTTGGCCGCCCATGCGGTCGTCGGAATAGCCGCAATGTGTGCGATATTTGCCTTTTAGCCACATTAACGAAATTGAAACCCGCTAAATTGCCTACTAACTAATTTAAATAAAATTTGTGCGCACATCACTTACAGCCAAAGACAGTAAAAAAAAAAAGAAGAAGTAAGCGATGTTTACCGAAAGTCAGCCAATATTTATAAGTAGTGGACTGTTGCGATCGAAAAGTGAAAATCATTTCGAGGAAAGCTAGTTCGTCGCTGTCACAAAAAGACTAAATTTGATGTAAACAAGAAAAGAAAAATAACTTTAAATTTTTAGTGACATTCATAGACGCCAATAAATTTTACAATTTATTTGTTTCTTTCTTTTACTTTTGCAAATGGAAATGGTCGGCGCAGTGCCACTCAAACTGTCGAGGTTAGGTAAGCACTGCGAACTGTCTTGGGAAATGTTTAAGAAACAGCGGTTCATAGTAAGCTACAACACAGCAAGCAGTATACAGCACTTGATACTCTTTTGCGAATCAAGCAGTGCACACACAATGCACAAGCAGTGTATTTAAAAAACCACAAGCAGTGTATTTAAGATTACTTTCAAAGAAATTTCAGTTTGAAATTTCTGCGCACGCATCCTTTAAATGCGTTACTACGCGTTACTTGGCTGTACTTTCTGTGCTGTCAACTGTCGGCACTTGCTTCCAATGCAGCTGCGCAATGCCCGCGCACAACAAACACACACGTATACATCATAGGAACAATACAAAAATATCCCTCAAAAATATCTACGGCTAGGACAATTTTCAAATTTTTGCTCTCCAACAAGAAACAGATTTTTTTGTGTGCGTGTACGTGCATATGTGTGTGTGTGAGTTAATCACAAATAAATCGAGGCAGCGCCGCTGGCAGCGCAGCTCCAGTGCGTTATTGATTTTATAGAGAGAGAGGGCATGTTAGGAAATATGGCCAAAGGAAATGAAATTTATTAAAATAGATTGCAAAATAATTTAAGAAGCCAGCAGCGGCTGCATACAATTTTTGGACAACTCTTGTCTGTTTCGGTTATTGAACTCTGCTCGACTTCTTCTTCGTTTTCGATAATGGGCGTGTCGTGCGCAGACAGAGGGAGTCGAGCATTTCTACGGGTGCCGGTTGCTACTGACCCAGAAAATGTGTGTGTGCGTGTGTGTATGTATTTATGTGTATGTGTGTGTGCGGCATTAAAATATTAATGGGACAAGGGAAATATACATATATACAGGTGACGACGCTTACCGGACACTACGAACACAACTGTTTCCAGCCTGATGACATCAGCAGGCGGTCGCAGCGTCTCCTAAATTCTAATGCGATTAGGCGCACTTACAAGTGCCACTGCCCTTGGCCGTGCCCCAACCGCTCACGGGACTGCTCTCAATAAACATTTTAATTGCGTCAAATAAACAGCACGTTTAAACATGAATCATCAAGTTCAACGCCGAACAAGCGAGCGAACGGGTTACTGCATTGGAAGTTTGCTCGGGTGAGGGTAAAAGGGAAACTCGGTTATGTGGAAAAAGCATATTTCCACTTTTGCCGGCAAACAAACAAGCAGCAAAAAAGGGCAGCAGCAACAAGGACAACAGGAAGGACGACATCAGCCACAGCCATATCCACAGCCACTACCACAGCCACAGCCACAGCAAAAGCAAAGGCGGAAAATGGAAATGCCTGCGGGCGCACCACGCGGCGTATGCGTTATGCTACGTTATGAGAAAGTTCAGTTCACTTCAGTTCAGTTCAGGTTAGCCTTTATTTTCATGCCAAAAATATGTCTGCAACAAAATTGAGCAGACACGTAAACAACAAAAAAAGAAGGAAAAACAAGAAAACAACTCACACAAAAAGCGACAGCTTCATCAAAAGTTATTTTTCCCAGTAATGAGCAGGGAACGAGAAAGAGAAAGGAAAGGGAACGAGAGTGAAAGAGTGGTTTGTCTGCCTGTCTGGGTTGTCCGTTATCAGTGGCCAGTAGTTGGCACAGATTGGCCACACTTTTGTGGTCCATTCAAAGAGTTACGACGTTACCTAATGCATATATATATATATATATATATATATATATATATATATATATATATATATATATATATAGATAATACACACTCGAGTCAAAATATTAAGTACACGCCACCGACTGAATAGACTTAATGCAACATTTACTTATCAATATTAGAAATATTCTAATTAAATTATAAGATGAAGTTTTTACTGGAGATTGGATCAGCTAAAGCCAACGGTGTCTATCAGCATTCCCAATATTCTCTAGTCATATTATTATTATATTATTATTATTGTTATAAGATATAAAAATATTCATAATAAATGAAATCATATTGTTAAATACTCAAGGCACTTCAATCACATCCATTTCATTCAGTAAATGCTTCAGCAACATCAGCATCAAAATACTCCTTCCCCTTCCATATCTCCTCCTTAGCACAGCCCTTTTCATTCTCTCAATTCGATCGGTTTTGTTTCGTCTGCTGACAGCTTGAATCCGAATGGTGATTATCCCGTCACATTATACGCCCACATGGGCTGCAATCAGTTAAGGCCGACAAATTGCAATTGCAATTGCATTTAAAATTACAACTAAGCTTTGGGCGCCAGCTTCGCCGACAACAGCGAGCAATGTGTACTCTCAATGCTTGTAAACAAATTGCTTACAGGTAAACGCCTCTCACCTGCCTACACCTCATCTGCAGAAATCTAGTATTTCAACCTCTCTATACCCTGCTCTCATTTCCAATCATAATCATTCAGTCTTTAGCAACAATGCGCATTAAAATCAGGCAAAAATGCGGCGCTAAAAGTTATGTAGATACCGAAGCGCAAGAGGAGGCGACTCGGGGCAGGAGCTGGAGCAGAGGGCTGACTGCACGTTTTCATTGAGTAAAATGCCAGGCAAAATGAAGACTGCAGAAGCGAGCACTCGCTCGAGGAGTGTGTCGAGGGTGCAGCACGTCGAAGACCCACTCCCCGCTTTAAAGGCAGCATATGGAACAACTTTATTGTTTTTACATTTGATTTTTATGCTAAGGGCGGTTGGAACGGGATCGGGGGCTGTTGCCTGGCACTTGCAGTGCTTGCAAAGTGCATGTCGAAGAACAACGAATAAATTCAACAGCAGGAACAACAACAACAACAATGAAGTCGCTTGGAAAATGTCTATATATCATGTAGCACAAAGAGAGTGCTGTTGCAGGGGGTGTGTGTGAGAGGGAGAGGGCGAGGGAGATGGATAGTGGTTGGGGGTGTTGTATGCGGCTTGGAAATGACAAACGTAACCAAATGACTGGAAAAGCAACCCCCAATACACAAGATACACAGCGAGAAAATCATCTATGCACAAATTTACAAGCGGCAAAACTACAAGCAAAAAGCAAGAGAGACAGAGAGAGAGAGAGGGGGTGAGAAAGAGCGCGCGCGACTGGTGGTCGCAAAGAGTGAAAGAGAAAGCTCGGATGGCCTGGCCAAAAACTACCCTTTGTCGTCATCAACTACAACAACAACAACAACAATCTCATTTGCTCTATTTCGGGGGAGAGTTTCATTATTTTTTTATTTTTGCAATGGGAAATGCGCGCGCAACCCTCGAAAAATTTTTGGTGCGTGGTCGTTCGCTTCCTTTGGCTGCCTTTCAGTCAACTTTGGGTATTCGTACGTGCAATTTCTCGACCGGCTCGCTGGCGGACTGTCCGGAAAATATATAAATTGGAACTAATATCAAATGAAATCTGAGCAAACCGAAAAAGAAAAAGCGATAGCTGTGCACCACAGCGAGTGAACTTTCACGTAGTCAAATGCAAAGTAAATACGACCTCAGCCTGAGCGTGGCCTAGCTGATTGGATATTTATCGAATCGTCCATTTTAGCGCTTGCCAGTGATATTGTCCTGTCACAGCAGTATTGTCATTAAGCAATTGGTACTGCTGAGCCGGGGCATTAACATTGTTGAGCGTCGTTAGCAACCAGAAGAAAAGCCAAATGGAAAAGTATCTAATCGAATCAACTATGCCGCATTTACAGAAGAGCAATTCAAAACACACACCAACACCAACGCATCAAATTTGCATGTATGTGTGTGTGGGTGCGAGTGTACATGTATGCGTTCGTGTCTGTGGAGAGACCGGAAAAATCAATTTTCCATTTTTAATTCAAAGCTAAGCTAAAAGCGACGGCAGGCACAGGGACACGCACTCGTTGCGCGAGTAATTTGAGTCTGTGTGTATCTCTGTGTGTATGTGTGTGTGTGTGTGTGTGTGTGTGTGAGTGTGTACTTGATAGAAAGCCCAAAGGATAAGCAGGATGCTGCAAAATCGTACAGAGACAAAGAGCGGGACAGAGATATAGAGACAACTGCAGAGAGCAGCTCAGTGCTGCAGTAGCTAAGAGTAGGACGGAGAGAGAGAGAGAGAGAGGGGGGGGAGGGGCAAGGGGGACAAGAGCATACTGAGAGAGAGAGACGGAGCAAGCGGAGATGAATGAGAGAGTATAGACTAAAGCCAACCGAAACGTTTCGTTCTCTGAAACAAGAGACCAACAAATTGAATACAAAAATTACAAATTTTCGTTGAAAAGCGAACAGAAATAACTCAAACAAATTTTAATATTTAGTTGTGTCCAGGACAACTCGGCGGGCTCATAAACATAAACAGTGAAAATCTGTGTGGCGTGACCACACCCACAACCTTGGGGGCAGTTTGGCTACTCCCTGCTTCTATAGCCGAAAAAGTGTTGCCAGGCGCGAAATGCCGGGTACGTTCGCGATGTCCTGTCCAGCAGCACAGTCCGGTCCTGGGCTGCTGCGACTGCAGTGCCCAAAAAAAAACAAAAAAAAAAACAGTGGAAAGGACGAAACGCAAGAAAAAAGCAACCCCTAAAATCAAAAACATATATAGTATATGCGGCGCAGCGCATTAAGGGCGTGAGGGCAAGGCGCATATAGCCAAAAAAATATATATATATAAAGGAGGATGGACATGGAAGGCATATTCCAAGAGCACAAATGACAAAAGAGATTTTTTGGCAACAGCAAGAGCAACAACAACAGTAAGGATATCTGGCAGAAATGAGATTTAGTGCAGCATCAGCTTAAGGGTTGCTTCCCCTATATGCAATCGAATGCGAGCTGACGATGAAGTTCATATTCATGTGTGTGTGTGTGTGGGGTAAATGAGCGAAGCAGTTCATGCTACAGTTTTTGATAACGCACAAGCATCTAAACGATGTGCGTAGGTGTGTGTGATCGTGTGTGTGAGTGAGTGTACCGTTGCTAAATACTTCGAAATTGGTTAAGAGTTTGTTGTGCTTATCAAATTGACAACGCTTAACTGTGCTTGAGGTAGCCCAATTGTTTCAACAAGCTTCCCTCCGGGTTGCGAATGTGTGTGGGTGTGTGTGAGAGAGTGCGTATGTGAGTGTGTGTGAGCTGCTTGTGGCTTTGTATGTCGCAGTTGAGTGGGTTGGTGGTTAGCTTCAGCAGCTGGTTTGAGTAAAATGCAATTTAATATGCATTACTGCAAAGTGGTTTTCATTATATGCAGTTTTGCGGCTTTTGCTTGGTTCAGAGTTGGAAAGTCGAAACTAATCACGAATTGCAATTTTAAAAAAAGAAAAGAATCATTTTTGTTCTCTAATATAATAAACAGCAAATAGCTTCTAAACAGTTTAAACAAGTCGAAATTAAAAATAATTAAGAGCTTCATCTCTGAGCTGAATGAGAAGTATATTTAATGACAAACAGAAAGATATGAAATGTAAGGAAAATATGTATATGATAAGCCTTAACTTAATTGAAAGGTTAAGTGTAATCTTTAAATGTGTATATTAAATCTTTTTTTTTAAATTTAGAATATTTGCACACTAATATTAATATTTAGCTAATGTTTGTAATATCTTTCAAAAATTTCCCTTAATATTGTAAAATTGTAAAATATTGATTGTAAAACTAATGAATTTTGAAATCTTCTGGAAATCACTGTTTATAGAGAACAGTCTTTAAATTTGTAGACCTAAGAGATGAGGGAAACTTTTTATACAACATAATTTGATTTTCAGAAACAGCTGTGTTACAGAAAAAGAGAAACAGCTTCAAAAGAGTGTTAAGTCAGAGAAACCCTACAGGCGCTCTTGAAACAATTTTACAGATCACAGACTGCTCGCTTTTTGGATGTTGCTGATTAGAATTAAGTGTTCCAAATGTGTATATATTTAAATAGTATCCATATCCCTATATATTTTAATACAAAATGTATTCTTTTTCAATTCATATTTTAAATGTTATGCCTTTTTTTAGATTTTAAAATAAAAATAATTAAATCAAATCTGCAAATATTTCTTTTTCGCTTTCGAATATGTACAAATTGTTCCACATTTTCTCTAATGACTTCAATAGTTGCCAACCTCTATGCACTCGATTTAAACTATATTACTATATTTTATTAAGAACCGATCATCTACAAATGAAATAGTCACATCAATTGAATCGATATCTGTCACTTCCTCTAACGGAAGTGTCGTTGCAACGGCAACAGTTGAAGTGGCAGGATCGAAGGCGGCAGCAGACGTTGTCAAGAGAGGAAACAAAACGTGAGGAAATTACGTTGACCTATAAAAATATATATATATAAAATGTTGTATAAAAAAATGCTAACTGTTGTAGCCGGTGTTGGCACACACACACACACACATCCCACGCGGCGGAATGCTAATGAACACATGATGGCATATGATAGCAAAATGCCAGACCTCACGTCAATCTTTGTGAATGTGTGCGTGTGCGTGTGTGTGTGTGTTGCGGGTGTAAAGAGATGGAAAACTCAAGGGTTAAAGTAAGTGCAGGTGTGTCCGCATTAGATCCAGCTAAAGCCCCCTTTCCGCATGCAAATCGTCTGTGGTTTTGCCAGCTTATTAAGTGCTTGAAAGCGCATAAAAGGACAGCTGAAAGGGCAGTGGGAGGACTGCACAGCCACTTAACACTCACAGACAGAGCGAGTGAGTGAGAGAGAAAGATAGAGTGAGAAAGGAAGAGACCAACCTGCATGTCCCAAATGGCAGCATTTATAAGAAGAAAAATACAGAATGGGAGCTGTCACAATAGCGACACTCTTACACCTCAAATATAGCTGGAGGAGGCAACGAGCGGGACTTTGGAGAGCTGCAGGTAATTTCGTTAATTAATAGGTGCGACAAAAGTTGTGTGGGCGTGGCAGTCAAGTGGCTCAAATTGTAAAAGCAAATAAGTTGTGTACGTGTGGGTGGGTATGTTGGTGTGTGTGTACCTGCAAGGAAGCTGCTAAAGCAGCAGTTCATTTACATGCAAAACAGTCGCAGGATGTGCTCAGCGCTAAGACTCAGCAAACAGGAAGAACCACACACAAACACACATGTGAATGCTGCAGCCTTTTGCTGACAATCGACTAAGGAAAACATTTCAACTATCTTCTGCATCCAATTAACTGTTATTTATTTATTCATTGTTGGCTGCCAATTGTCAAAAATGTAAAAATGGGGATTAGCTCGTTTTGAAAAGTTTTCGTCCTTCGGGTAGATTCGGTTGCCTCAACTCAACTCCTGACGTCGCCTAATTGAATTTAATATGGCCCAAGGATACATGCCCAAACACATTCCAGTCCCTAACGAGCCGCAGGCATTTGAAAGGGCTGAGGGTCCGCGCAAAGGCAAAAGTTGTGTGCCTGCACAAAAGCTGTCCAAAACATAATTTGGCTACTTTACTGATATTGAAGTGGGTCAGTCGAGCGACAAAAATGCAAAAGCTTTTAACACTGTGAAACTGATGAAGAACCAATGGCATAAAAAGCTCACTGGATGTTACGCTAGAGAGCTTTAAGGAAATGTTAAAACTCGTCCTATGAGTTTGTATTCAGAAAGCTTTTCACTGCTTTACTGACAAACTTGACTGCTATAACAGAAGTTGTGGCTTAGCTAAATATACAGGCATCAAGCAGTTCATGTACCATAAAGCAGTGCAGCAAGAAGTTAACCGAATTAGTGGAGGCATGTTATGCTTGAATAACATGAATATTTGGTCTAATTACAAATAATAAATGCAATAAGACTTAGTTTTAGAATCTATTAGATTGAATTTGTAAACACAAAAATTATTTAAATATTAACAGATTGTATGTTTTCTTGAAACTACACCACAAATGCAAATTTAGTTAACGTCAATCCGTTATTTACCTATATAGTACACACAGAGTAAATAAGTTTTCATTCTCATTACAAATTTCGTTTGCAAAGCCAAAATTCAGCTCATTCGCAAACAAAATAATGACTTCTAGCTTGTTAATAAGATGTGTAAGCAAATTTTGTCACAGATTTTGGCCTCAATCAGTTATGGGGCTTATTGTTTACATATCTGCCACTAGAAACAACAAAGTGTAGGCAATGGCTGAGTCAGCTCTAAGCGCTAAGATAAGTAGTCGCAGTGTGAGCATAAACGCATCCTGTTCAAAGTCGCAGGATGCAAAAGTGAAGAGGTGCTCGAGAAATGCTTCAGTCGCATAGTGGAAGACCCGAAACCCGACACCCAGACCTCCGTCCCGCAATCTGTTAAGGCCCTTGTCTGTTAAATGCTGACACCAAGCCTCGGCTCAAGTATTTTGCGGGCAAATAGTCCACGCTGTATGTGAGTAGGCCGGGCCATCGTCAGAGACATGGAAAGGGGTCCCTGTGTGCATGTGTGTGTGAGAGTGTGGAGCGGGCGTGGCGCAATGTAATAAAAGTCACTCGAGTGACATTTTTGAGCTTGCAGCTATACAAAGCATAAGCAGAGAGCAAACAAAGCGAGCGCTGACCCCCAGCTCTCAGTTTCAGCTTGAAGCCATCAAGCCCAGACCCCTGCTACTGTCGCGGGACTCCTACTGCCGCTGCTGTTGCCTGTTGTTCCTTTACAGCCGCTTTTTAATCGATTATGGCAAACGCGCTTTGTTTGTCGCAAATCCTGTCTGAGTGTTGCATTACAACAACAGCAGACAGCAGAACAATTGCTGCTGGCAAGCTGCAATAACAACAGCTCTAGCTATAGCAGCAATCCTCGAATCGGCCTCATGTCGTGTTTTCTTTCGTGTCACGATTGATTGACATGTTATAAATGTTATTCATATGAAATCTGACTGTCCAAAGATTAATGCCATTTGAAGGAATATAGATCTTAATAGAATTTAGACAAAGTTTTCAATTTGTAAAAGAAATGTATCAGTAAATAAATTTATTAAATACTAAAAATTTCTAATTGTTAAATTAGTTATCTTTTATTGTATTGTTCTTTAAGGAGTTTTAAGTTTTTGCTTCTGTTTCTCTCAGAGTTGAGGAGTTCATCAAGGATCTCAGTTTGGTTTCGCTCATCTCTAGCTGGAGGACCTCACAAACATTGTACATTGAACTTGCAGCCTATCGCATTTTGCTGAGCCATCATCTGCAACCAACTCGCAACTGTGCTTCTTCAGCCTTTTTTATGGAAAATTATAATGTTGCCCCTGCAACATATTCAATAAATGTTGTTATCTATGCAGCAAAATTGTCAAGTGTGCACTTGAGAAACTCATTTCAAGGATTGCGCTTGCTCCTTCGCACAGAGATAAAGCAGAGTCAAAACAAAAAGAAGGGAAAGACCGTTGCGAGTTTGGTTTTTCACGCGACTTTCGGTTACGTTTTATGCTTCGTTACCTGTGCTTGGGCTTTGGGACGGCGGCACGCACTCGTTTCCGTTTCTTTTTTTACACACATTTTCTTTTTGTTTTCGTCACGTTTTTTGTTTGTTATGCGATCAGCGATAATAAAAAATGCACATTGTTTTCTTGTCCGCCAACGCGTGGGGCTTCGCTTAGCTGCTTTGCCGCCCTACACAATACGATTCAGCCGCAGGAAATGCACGTCCTTAAAATGGCGACCGGTTCAGCTTTTAGCTTTCAGCTTTCGGCTTTTAATATTGTTTTTCCTCTTGCTCTGCATCTTGCCGCATCGCATGTCGTCATATTTACTTGTGGCATGGCATGTGTGAACTTACCTGCAACATAATCAGAAAGAATATATTAAGATTGATTAGAATAAGATTCTCATAAACGGCTCGGCATGAAATGCCTTCAAAATGGTTTATTAAACATATATGTAGACAATTATGGGAGACTGAAGGAAGGAGTGTATATAAATATATATATAGGGATGAGATTTTCATATTTTTTATGATACATTCGTGCTTTAATTTGTTGACATTTTACAGCCAATTTTTAAAGATATTTTTAAGCAATAAGACTCATTTGTTAAGATGAAATAAATCAGAATAACTTACAATAAATTTCTTAAGCATACGAATTACAATTTATTTAACTGCTAGTTATTACTTAAGTCTTTAAGAACATATATTCGTTCTCCAAGAATACTTCTTGATAAATATCAATCAATTATTAAATTAGTTCCATAAACATTTGCTTTCATCAACTTATTTGCTGCATTTTCAATGCCAATTAAAAACTGTCACAACAAGTCTAGAAAGCTGCGACAGGTCTTTGGGCAGACGTCTTGTCTTGGTGCATTGACCTATCCCAAAAAGTGGCCAAAAAAGCAAGTGTTAAGCACTAAGGCCGAAAGAAGCGAAACTTGGTCAGTGGCACATCGCATGTTGGGGCTGAACTTTTATTGACTCAACAGATTAACAGTTAATGAAGTGGGCAGAGGTGAGAGTAAACGGTATTTCGTATTATTTATTTATCTCTTTTTTCGGCAGAAGTCTTCAATAATATCCGCTGCTTAAGCATAACAAGTATGTTAATACATTTGATCGACACCTGAACCGAACTTTGAATACACTTCAATTGGATAATGGTAAATAAATATTATATATAATTGATAAATATATTTGCTTCTATTGAACTAAGTCAATTAGTATCTTTAGCATATTTTGTGTCATTCAGCTAAATTAATTAATGTAAGGGTATCAGAACAGCAAAGTGTAAACTCTTGCACATTAATAACTTCTGCTTTTTCTTCTTTTTTATGTAAAGAGAGCCAACCAAAAAATACTTTAAGCAAATTATAACTGAGAGCCGCAGAGCTGGAGAAAAAGTTTCCAGTCAGTTGTTAATGCGAGTTCGTCCGTGTAGTTCGCTAGTTCTGAAAAACATGCCTCAAAAGTATCCAAAATAATGAGTTCGTAAGCTACATGAAAAGTATCTCTAGAAGTAGGCAAAGAACACACAAAATGCTTCTGCTTGGGCTGTTGTTCATTTGCCAGTCAGGTGATTATCATTGATCAACTCGGGACTACTTTGTGTCTGTGTCAAGATAGATTTACATAGATATATATGTGTATATGTATATGTATGTATAGTGAAAATTGCTCTAGTTTCGTCTAATGCACTTTCATTTTGTTGCCAGCTTGTTTGTGGCACACTGCAGCTACAAGGCGGCAGGAGGCCGAATCTAGAAATGTATACGAGGGCTGGATTGAGGCAACCAACTACTCGTATGCTGATTACAGAGCAACAGAGCAGGTCGATGCAGGCAACAATCAGTTGCGGGCGGATGAGGAGGAGGCGGCCACCCAAAGGCCCGCAGTGCAAGTAAAAGTGACAAATGAAGTGGAAAGTGCCATGATGAGGGCAAAAGCAGCAGCAGCAGCGGCAGCTGAAAGACTACAGCTAAATAGAAATGAAGACACCAAGGGCAGGCATGCAGGCATGCAAATCGTAAGGACATCTAACCAGAACATCAGCAGTATGAACTTAATGAGACCCGATGCGCTGCCAATATCGGAAAGAAATAATTTCGACAATAACAACAACAATTCGGCTGGCCAAATGGCTGGTGATGAACAACTATTGCGATTGCAGGACTACAATTTACTGTACAACGCCGAGCGACAGACATACTTTCAGCTGCATACGAGCAATGGGCGTGGCCCGATTAGGCTATCGCATGGTAATCGACTGCTGCAGCAGGTCGTTGGCAACAAGCTGAGCGCTGCCTTTGGCCTGAATGCCAATGACGGCAATGATCTGGCGACGCAAACGGTGAAGCTCTACGATGCCGCATCGCTGCGACAATCACGCTTCAATCCCTTCCAGCCCACGCGGTAGGTTATGAATGAAGCATGCCACGGCGTGTGTCTCTGATTGTAGTTGCATTTACATGTAATTTTCGCACACTGAACACTTTTTCAATGTTCTCCGTGGGGTCACTGTTTAGAGCTTTTGCTGCTTATTTCTTTTTTATTTAAATCTTCATTTTTCTTTTTAAATATTAAATAAACTAACCTCTCTCTCCCCCCCTCTCTCTGTCCCTTCTAAGAATCATAATACACGGCTGGCTGGGCAATGCACATGCCAATGTGTACAGCTACCTGGTACCAGCTTACTTGAACCTCAGCGATGGCAGCTACAATATTTTCACTGTGGATTGGGGCCGTGGCGCCATCGCTGATTATATAACGGCCAGCTATAGGGTGAAGCCCGTGGGTCAGGTGTTGGCCAAGTTTCTGGACTTTTTGCACGTGGAGGCGGGCATGCAGTATGAGGATCTGCAGCTGATTGGCTTCAGCATGGGCGCGCATATTGCCGGACTGGCCGCCAAGCACGTGCAGACTGGTCATGTGCGTGTGATACGTGCCTTAGATCCGGCCCTGCCCTTCTTTCGCTATGCCCAAGAGAAGGAGCGCCTCAGCCACAACGATGCGGACTATGTTGAGGTGCTACACACGAGCGTGGGCAGCTACGGATTCGATCGTCCGCTGGGCCATGCAGACTTCTATGCCAACTGGGGCAGCCAGCAGCCGGGCTGCTTCTGGCACGAATGCAGTCACTGGCGTGCCTTTGCTCTCTTCAAGGAGAGCCTGGAGGTGACGGCGTTCGAGGCCAAAGGCTGTCAGCCAAGCGAATGGCAGCAGTTGACACGGCACAAACGCTGCCCGCAGCCAACGGGCAGCAGGCTCCACATGGGCGGAGATTTGGGTGAGCTATCAATGGAGCAGCTGGCGCAGCGCGAGGGAGTTTATTATTTTGATACCCAGGCGCAACCGCCATACGATAAGGGGCCAGTTTCATAGACGCAGCTGAGCATTCAGTGTGGCATGCGGCATGTGGCATGTGGCATGGAAAAAAAATGAGCAACAGCTACAACAGCGTAATGAGCAAATGTGCAGCGCGCATTTTTATTTCTAATTAGTATGTGCATTTGTGTGAGTTGCCACTATGTGTGCTTGTGTATGTGTGTCTGTGTGTGTGTGTGGGTATTTCTAAAAGCTGCGCTGAAAAATTAAAAAATGCTACCATGTGTAAAATGCTTTTCATGCCAGTTACAGGCATAGAAAAATACCAAACAACAAAAACAACTTGCAACGAGCTAGTGAACAAAATAAAAACCAAAAACCCTTGCAAAAGTAGTTTTCGTCTCGCATTTTGTGTACATATAAAAAGAGTATTAGCAAACATATACAAAAATTCATTAAAGCTTGCTACACTTAATTAACTAATTGCATAGATTTCCAGACAATAGCAAAATTTCATATGCCAAAAATTTGCAAATGAACTTGCCACCATGCCCAACATACAAACAAAAAGCGATCGATCGACCCGTCCCATGCATACCATGGCAATAGAGATTACTTATTTTAAGGAAAAGGAATGTTTTTTGTAAGATGAGAATTTTAAATAAAAGATGTCGGAGCGAACTGTCGCTAACATAAATAATGTAACATAAATCCATCATCAACATTATTTAATATATATATATATATATATATATATATATATATATATATATAAAATATTAATTTTTTATTTCAGCTTGTTTTCTTCAAAATCACGTCTGTGTCTCTTTGTTTGCATTTTAAATAATCAAAACCTCGCTGTAATGGCAAATGAAAAATCATCTCAAAGTCAAAATTGATCAAATTAACTTGAAAAAAAAAAAAAACAACAAAATTATTAAATAATATCTATATTTCTATACCTATATTTGAGCTATTTGCTAAAACTAACATTGCTTACAAGCAACGCTTAAAAAGTTTAATTACAACACTTTTGGGTCTTATTTAAACTTTGATTTCTGTTAATAAGAACACTCACTGAAGCAGGATATCCTCTCACCCGTACGCCGTCAGACAGCCGCAACTTTTGAAATTCTGTGTAATTTGTAGACAGGTTTTTTTGGCGCAAGACCTACATAAATTATACACATACTCAATCTCACTCCAACACACACATAGAGTAACATATTTAATAGCAGTAGACAAAAGACTATGCAGTCTGTGCACAAGCGGCTAGAACTGTCTAATGCTAACAAGCAGCAGATAGAAGTGATAACCAGTGTGAACGACTAGTACATGCCCTGTAAAATAATCGAGATGCAACCTGCCGAAACATTTACTGAGCTTCAGAGCTGTTTATGTTGAAATTGAGTGGCAGTTATTAAAGTGTAACGTGCAAAGCTTTGTCACATTTTCAGCCTACTTCTATTCAGTACAGGGTATAGAGAAAGAATTACCCAGTAGCACAGGCTTACTGCTATTCTTTGCTTCAGTCAGTCCCCTGTCTGTTCTGCCGACACTTTGTTGCTTGCATTTTGCATGCTGCATGCTTGTAGGCGCATGGCGCATAAATTAAAGATGGCGGCGTGGTGCACGTTGCACGTGGCACATTAACGACTTGGCACTGCCTCGCATTAAGCTTTAATTGGCCCACTGTGTGTGTGTCTGAACGTATATCTCAGCGGCCAAATTGTTGTAAATACTTTTTGGGTCGCACGGCTGCCATTAATGTGATTTCTTTCCACGTCATTGAAGAGCGCCTAGACCCAGGCTCAATCGGAACGTGGCCAATGACGAGCGCAAATATTTACCAAAGCAAACAAACAGAAAATACTAAAAAAGTCCATTTCTCCTGTGTTGTGTTTTTGGCAGCTCAGAAATGTAGGCAACACATTTCTGCCTTCACATAATTTCTCCCCTGAGCGTAGTAAAAATACTTGTTGAAAATATTTTTATGTGGACGAATATAATATATATATATGTATACTTGTCATCTGCATTTAGATTAGAATGTTGCACAGCTTTTGAGGTCAGCGGATGTGCGCAAAACGTGCAACAAATTGCATATAAATTATTTTAAAGTCGCAAAAGTTTTGAATTTATTTTTATTTTATGTTTTTTTTTCAGTAGGTGCTCGAGGCGCTTACAGTCCGCAAAGCCGAGTTAGGCACTCGAAAATTGTCATAATGGCGTTTTTCTAAGCTCTGAAGTTAGACACTTGCCCCAAGCCAGAACGATGGGCAATGACAGTGGCTAGGGTGCCGGCTCTGGGCTCTATTTATGTGCAAACTTTTATGGGTGCATTAAGTGCATCAATAGAATTTTGTAGTTTCCTCTTTTATGAACTTATAATAATAAAAAATTAAATTAAATTAAATTTTAAATTATTAATATTAAAATAAAATAAATTTTCAAATGGAAATTGTAATAATTAATTTGAGCAAATTTAATTTACTAGATACATTTGACTTTATTAATTTAAAATAGTTTTCTATTAAGTAAGAGTTTTGGAAACATCTAGAGCGTTTAACTTTGAGCTAACTAAATTAAAATGTTGTACATTGTTAAATAATAATACAATTTTTTTTATTATTATATACACTGTACAGTGACGAAATTTTGTTTGTAATGAGATTATTGAATTCTCACTCAGGAACATTTAATTGGATTTGTTTGCTGAAGGTGAAAGAAGATGAAATCATTTTATGAAATTTTGCTTACCACAGCATAGATTCTAAGTAGTTCATGTTTTGTCAGCTGTTTGCTGTTGTCGAGACAAGTCAAGTTGGCACTTACACTTGCACACACTCCCACACACACTTTGGTGTACAGCCACAAAGTTAGTTGAGAAACAAACTCAATTTGCGTGCAAGTTTTGGCAGCAAAATTTGCACTTGGCAACACATAAATTGTACTTCGTATTGTTTTAGATGTTGCAACTGTGGCAAGTACGTTTTTGTGGCAGCGCGTGGAAAAACCCGTCACTGTTGCCGGCTGTACGCTGCAAACCAAACTGAAATGCGCACGCAGACAGACAACAAAAAATACATGAAAGAAGTAAACAACGAACGAATACACGCGCTAATTTGTTGGCCAAGACGTCGAGGGCCAAACGGGGTAGTTTAGCTATCAGGCCTGCAAGACACACACAGTTCACTTGGAAGCCCTTCAAATGTGCTACCTTCTTCACTCTGCCCCTGCCACGCCCACCACAAAAGAGTTGATTTAGATACTGTAGAGCACTGAGTGCGCTGCGAAATGAACTGCACAGAACAGTGTGCAGACAATGCATTCCTAATGCCTGACATTCTGAAACAGCCCTTTAACCCTTTGTTGCCCCACTGAGCGTCGCTCTCGCAAGTAGCTAAGGTCGTTTTTTTTGTTGGTTTTGGCTTGGGGTTTGCCACCTCCAGTCACAACCTGTCATAAAGTGTCGCGTCGCGCGTTTCCGTTACCTGCCACGCCTCACCCAGCGACGCCCATCAGAGTTCCTTCCCAGACTGTCAACGGTGCTTCCTGCCGCTGGTGCGTGCTTAACCCGCAATGGCTTCCGGCGCACGCACTGCAGCCGCAAAAAGTGCACATTACTTGTGAGCGAGCGATTTGTCGGCTTTGGCTGCACTTACACCAGCTCTCTTACCCCTCCCTCCCTCCCTCACTCTCTCTCTCTCTCTCTCTCTCTCGTGGCTAGTTATAGGCATAGGGATTACATTTCTCAAGAGCCTTTGAGTGTTGCCTTGCGCCTGACAAAAACAAGCTCAAAGAGCAAAATTGTCAATGCCAACGACCAAAAACGATGCAGGAACAGAAGTAGCAACAACATCAGAGTGCAGCAACGAAATAAAACCAGCAGCTGTTTGTTGACTGCAGCACATAGAACAAAGAATAATGAATGCTCCACTGCCAAATACCCTGTAAACCACTTTAAAGCAATTGCTTTCTTACATCTGCATTTCAACATGAAGACAGGCAGATAAGTGTAATCAGTGAGTCTGACAATATATATATATATTTTTCCTACAGCTACAGACAAATATAGTATTCCAGATGATTGTCTATATATGGACCTAGAGTTATATAAACTTGCTGCCTTTCGTAGATTACAGGGCAAAGAAACCAATGAAACACACTGCTGCAAAAGTTATACAGAGGTCTGTATACGAGTATGTATGATGTGTGCGTGCGTGTGTCTGTGTGGACGTGGCGTGTGTGACTGCTTGGCAAACAGACAAAAACGTAGCAGCAGGTTGTAACCAAAATGTGGATAGCTGTGGCCAAAGCGGCAGCATGACGTCCATTCACAGTCCTTGATAGGTGACACAGCAGGTTTGGGGACCACAGCAAACGAATGATGAATTATTGTAGTTGCCCGAAAACTTAAAGAGCTTACGAAAATTAATGACAACAAACTAACTATTAAATCATTGGAAATCATAATAAATATCAAATGTAAGTTTACAGTTCAGCTAAGCACTTGTGCCTAATTTCAGTGTAAAACTTGGCTAAATCCACGCAGACACTCAGACAATTAGTGAGACAAAGGTGAGGGTGGATGGATTGCAGCGGGCCGCCTGGCTGCCTGGAGAACTTGCTGAAGCGACGTCAACTGAAGCCATACGACGACGAAAAGTTTCAGTTTTTGTGCAAACAAATTGGATTATTTGATTACGTGTTTGTGCCAGAGACCAGAACAGGTACACAAAACTCAGGTTAGAGCGAGAGAGTCGGTGACTGAGAAAAAGAGAGAACTGCAGAGGGTGGGTAAGAGACAGACGTTGACGCTGGCAATTTTGTAAAGCGGCCAAGGGAACAAGTTTTAAGAGCGCCAAGCGTATTGCAGGGGTTGCTGGTTCCTTTTCCACAAAAAAAAAAAAACAAAAACAAAACAATCGAAATGAAAAAATAGTTTTCTTTGGCTTTGAATCTGATTTATGTGGATTTTGTTTGCCAATTGGCAAATGTTTGCAGCTCAGCATGAAGAAGAAAAACTAAAGTAGAAGCTATAAAAACTAGAATACCAATTTGATATAGAACATTTGACAGCAGGTACTTACAGAGCT